ATTAATGAAGTTGATAAATCTGTAGCTAGACTGACGAAGAAGCCAAGAGAAACGACACATAACCAGTATTGAGTATGGAAAACTTTTCACAATAGATTCTACAGACATGAAAAGGAAAATAAGGAGTATAATGAACACCTTTATGCCATTTAGAAGAAACAGACAGATCCCTCGAAAGATGCAAATTGCCAAAACTGACCCAAGAGAAAAAACTGAACAATGCCATAGCCCAGTATCTATCTTAAGAAATGTAATTCATAATTAAAACTTTCTACTAAGAAAATTGTAGGCACAGCTGGCTTCTCTGTTGAATTATTTCAAGGATTAAAGGAACAAACCGTCACAACACTACCCAGATTATTTGAGAAGGTAGAGTGAGAATCACTTCCGGACTGTATGTTGCTTATCGTGCCCCAGAAATGAAAATGACAGACCAGTATCCTTCCTAATAGATATAAAAATGCTTGACAGAATACTAGCAAATCCAATCTACTATAATCAAAGAACAGTATTACATCACGACCAAGTAGTATTTACTCCAAGAACGCAAAGTTTGTGTAGCACCTGAAAATCAATGAGATGAGTAATTCTCCATATTACCAGACAAAAGTAAACGCCAAAGATCATTTTAGTAGATGCAGAAACCGCACGTGACAATGTAAAATAATCCATTCGTCATTAAGATTCTCAGCAAACAAGAAGCAGAAGATCATTTCTCAAACCTAAGGAAAGTTATCTATGAAAAACTACAATTCTCATTACGTCGAATGAACTAGGGAATGCCTTCTCTCTCTTTAAGATCAAGAACAAGATGAGCGTATGTTCTTGATACTTTTACTCAGCATCCTGTTGTAGGTTATAGCTATTGGAGTAAGGGAAGGACAGCAAACAAAAGTCCTGTGGATTCGAAGGGAAGAAGTAAGCCTGTCTTATTTGCAAAGAACATCATCGTATACGTAGAAAATTATGAGAAATCTACAAAAAATGTACTCAAAACGAATTTAGCTAGATTACAGAATGTACAGCTCAATATACAAAAATCCATTTTATTTCTCTGTACCGGCAAATAACATTTAGAAATGGAAATTTCAAAGCCATTCATTACGAGAGCGACAGAATTTAAAATATAATATTTTAATGAAAGATGTGCGCGTAAGGCCTGTACACTGAAAACTATAATACATTCCTGAGGGAAATTAAAGAAGACCTAAATGCGGAATAAAAGAAAGACATAATCCATGTTCATGGTTTGAAAGAATCAATATTATTTAGATCATTTTGAGGAGATTTTCATTTTAAGAATTGGCGGAGTTAGAATTTCAGAATTTCAGCAGCTTCGAAGAAATCGACAAGCTGATTCTAAATGTATTGGCTGACACAGGATCAAAGAAGGTTGAGGACATACCCTACCTGCTGTCAAAACTTACTGTAAAGCTACAGTAGTCAAAAAAAAAAAAGCTACAGTGATCAAGATAGTCTGTAGTGTGCACCTGAGAATACAATATCGTATTTAGTTATATTTTAATAAAAATCTTAAGAAAAACGATCATCCACTCTTGGCGTATGGATAGACTTTTTTAGATGAGTTGAACAGAATAGAATGCAAAAATAGACCCACAGTTTTATGGTAAACTGGTTTTCGACAAAGACACCAGGATAAATCGTTGGGGGAAAAGCTAGTTTTTTCAACAGATTGTGCTGGAACAGGATTAAAGAAGCCTGAGGACTTACCCTACCTGCTGTCTACCCGCTACTTATCTATCTGGGAAATAATAAACCTTGATCCAACGTCACACTGTACACAAAAATCAACTGGCAGTGGATCATTGCCCTAAATGTTGAGTCAAAAGTCTATAACTTCTGGAAGAAAACAGAAAATCTATGTGACATTATGTTGGGCAAAGATTTCTTAAGTAGGACACAAAAAGCGCAAACCATAAAAGAAAAAAATGACAATCGACTTCATCAAAATTAAAAACTTTTGGATAGCCACTTGAAAAACAGTTTGGCGATTTCTCAAGAAGTCGAATGTGCATTTAGTATATGACACAGCAAGTCTCTCCTGGGTATTTTCCCAAGTGACATGGAAACGTGTCCACGTGTAGACTTGTATACAGATGTTCACAGTAGCCTTATAATAGCCTCAAACCTGAAATAACCCATTACTCATCTGCTCTTGAATAAATAATCGTATACCCATGTTACGGAATACAGTTCAGCAAATAACAAAGAAATGACCTTTCGATACAACAACAATATGGATGAATTTCAAAACACAACAATATGGATGAGTCTCACAGATACAATATTGAGTGAAAGAAGCTAAAGGATTCTGTTTATATGAAATTCTAGAAAGGCAAAATTTTAGAGTTACCTGGGGCCCATAGTCTGAGCAGGGACTTCCCTGTAAAGAGGCAGGAAAGAACTTTTCGAGATGATGGAAATATTATGTGACCGTATACAATTCGTCAGAGTTCACCAACCTGTACACTTAAAATAGGTAAATTTTATTGTACCTCAGTAAAGCCGTTGGAGGAAAAAAACATGGATAGGGAACGTTTGTTTGCTTTTATTTATAGATACTTTCAAATTTTTCAATAGATTTAAGAGAGTTTCAATCTCGTTTAGAGAATTTGCTCTTGGGGAAGAAAAGGTTGCTAAAGGGACAAAGTAATGAGATGGATGAGCTGCCATCTCAGTGTTCAGAAAAAGTTTTTCTGATGAAGGGACGTTTGCTCAGACACAGAAAGTGAGTTCGGTTTAGTCATCGATTTCTTCATATGTGCCTTGCACGTTTCTTACTGAATCTACGTCTAGGTGTTTTGTAGTTTCTGTTGCTAATACAAACGAGATCTTTTTCTTATCTTACCGCGTTAGCTCTAATAATCCTTAAATTCATTTTCGTTTGCATCTTCATTTGTCTTAGATCTCCCATTCGTTAATCCCTCAGTAACTGTACAGATTGTATGCGTCGTTACTGAAAACTCTGTGCTGTTTCCAACGTGTGCTCAGCTAATGCATTTAATGGTTTTTACTGAGACTGTGCAAATCATTGTTCATGATTGTTTTTCCTGACCAAAATGTAAGTAAAACCTAAAAAAGACCTCAAGTGGAAAACCAAAGATGCAAGTGCAGTTGAACGTGACATAATTTTAAATTCGCCGTCAGGTAGAGCGAGAATAGGATGCGCCTAAGAATGTCGGCTGGCTCGTTGAGAGGCGCCCCCTGGTGGATGAGAATTGGAGCGAAAGAAAAGACTCAGGTTTCACTAACAGATTGAGAGAGAATGTCTGGAAGCAGATAATGGGTCAGGTGTAGATTAGAAACGGACGATTTGGCAAGATTTCCTTTTTTATTTAAATAGAAGGGTTTTTTTTTTTTTCTTTTATTTCATGCCTGTCTTCACTTGGTCACCTTTAGGTAAGTGAGACGTCAGAAACAGGATCTGTCAAAATGGAAACAGCAGCTCGTGATCACGCCTTACCAGTAGATGGCAGCAAAACGCTTTGTTAAAATACTCTCTTGCCTTTATTTTTTAAGTCTTATAGTAAATAGATATTGTATATTTTTCTCCTGGTGAAGACCAAGGCAGTTATGATACCTTGCTTTTCTTTGAATGGGTTAAAAACAGTGTTACTACTTTGTACTGTTTATATTGAAGAATTTTAGAAATTCTGGGATAGCTTCCCTAAAATGTTCACTTTTTACAGGTTTTGTGTTAGCAGACTACTTCTTAACTAAAATTTTCATTCTCCATAATATTGCTATTTTATTTATAGTTTTTTTGTCTCACGGATTTTTCTAAGAGACCCAGCCGTCATATGTTTTAGAACTAAGTAACATGTTACTGAACAATGCACAAATGTTTAATTACACAACTTCGGAGACTTTTTGTTTGTTTAGAAAACAGGAATTTTTCTCTTTCATGAACCAACCAGAAATTAAGGGGTCTTTTGTAAGAAGCAAGTTATTTTAATCTCATTTTGAATTGATTCTGAAGGGAATCGCTGGCCGCCTGGAAGTAGCTTTCGTAACAAGGAGGAACAGTTCTTGCTGCATCGGGCCAACTGTCCGGGATGGCCAGGCGACGAGAGCCACACAGAAGTGGCCCCGAGGTTCAGGAAATAGCCAGGGCAGATGACAGAAGTTTGTGACTCGAGGAATCACAGAGCAGATCAATCACTGTAGCTTCTTTCTCTCCCCCTTTCCCCCCACCACCCAGGAATCAATTCAGCAAAGGGTTTTGGAACCGTTTTAGAAAATAGTATTTATACAGTGCTGAGGTTACTTCCAGATTTTCACACGATGTGCTGTTTAATTCTAACGGACTCCAAAATTCTTGTAAAACTTAAGAATTCAGAATAGACTTTTATCTTATGAAAACATGATTTATCCAGATCACTTAACATATATCGTACATGCTTTGGAATTTTTACAGACCACAGGGAAACTGTTTTTTTTTTTTTTTTAACCTAATACACCCCAAACAATGCAGCCTGCCAGACCACAGCACATCCGTAATGTAGAGCAGCAGATGTTGATACACATGCTTCTCTTTAAGACCAAGAAGAAGCACAAAAGAAAATAAAATAAAAACTTAAAACAGAAGAGAAACATGAAACAGAACAGAGGTGGGTGAGTTCGAGTAGCCGAAAGCAGTTGATTAAATCAGCAAAGGCCGGGACTGCGGTGGTCTAAACTCGGTGTTTTTTTTGTTTGTTTGTTTTTGTTTTTTTTTTTCCTATACATGTTTTTTTAAACACTCCGTGAGTCGATCTCACTCTCTTCACCAGGGTTGATAACTTTCGACTGAACTTTATTTTCCGTGAAAACGTTCACTTCAGTTCAACTGAGGAAGGAAGCGCTTGGTGTTCGTTCCAACCTTTAACCCTTTCACGTTTTGGTATGAGAATGGCCCCAAACCGCGTGCCTCGCCACGTTACGGGGTCGTCGTCCTGGGTGAGAATCTGCTAACGTTTTCCTTTTGGCTTTAACTCCAGCTGACCCCACCGTGAAGGACTTAATCGGAGGCTTCACTGCCCTTCATTACGCAGCCATGCACGGCCGGGCCCGGATCGCACGCCTGATGTTAGAATCGGAATACAGGGGCGACATCATTAACGCAAAGAGCAACGACGGCTGGACTCCCCTGCACGTGGCCGCTCACTACGGCAGGGACTCGTTCGTCCGACTCCTCCTGGAGTTCAAGGCCGAGGTCGACCCACTTAGCGACAAAGGCACGACGCCCCTCCAGCTCGCCATCATCCGGGAGAGGTCGAGCTGCGTGAAGATCCTCCTGGACCACAGCGCCAACATCGACATTCAGAATGGCTTCCTGTTGCGATATGCCGTCATCAAGAGCAACCACTCTTATTGCCGAATGTTCCTTCAGAGAGGGGCAGACACGAACTTGGGTCGCTTAGAAGACGGACAGACTCCCTTACATTTGTCCGCCCTTAGGGATGACGTGCTCTGCGCACGGATGTTGTACAATTACGGAGCAGACACGAACACAAGGAACTATGAGGGACAGACCCCGCTGGCTGTGTCACTAAGCATTTCTGGAAGTAGTCGACCGTGTCTGGATTTCTTACAAGAAGTCACAAGTATGTAATATCATTATTATTATTATTATTATTATTATTATTGCATTTTTCTCAAAATTTGCATCTTCTGGCACGCTTAAGGTGTTTTTTTTTTTTACAACTAAAACCAACCAGATAGTAATGGTTCCTGTTATTAGCCCTGGCTTGGTAAGTAAGACCCCGTTCATCCAAAATCAAAAGAATGCCCCGTGTCGTAAAATTTCATGAAAATTCAGCCGTGTTCCTAAAAGCGATAGAGATGGACGAGGGGAGAGGAGAAATGAAGAACAGGACAAATAGGAGAATTTTTTAAATGAACAAAGGTCTGCCGGCCGTGAGCGTAGTTTTTCCGGGAGGCCACGGACTCGAGATTGAAGAATTAATCAGAACAGGTTTCGGTTACAGACGCCGCAGCCGCGGAGGTGCCCTCGTCCGTGTGTTTGATCGCTAAGCTGCGGTTCACGTTCGATCGTGGCCGTTCTGCATTAGGACGTGAACCCACGTGCAGTGGGGTGGCCGGTGCTCATTTAGGTATCCCAGCAAAGCGGGTTAGGAATGCTAGAAATCATTGGAAGAAGAGATTTGCCATCTGTGGAAAATTCCGGGCCAGGGCTATGTGGCTTCGTACTTGACCTTCGCGTGGGTGCTTTTTTCTTGACCTGCTCGTATAGTGTGGCGTTTTCGTTTCTGATGGGGGCATTAGTTGGTGTGGATGCTCCTTGTGACCAGATCGGTATGTATATCAGAACTTAACATCCGACACAGACCTAAAGTCTATAAACAAATGTTTGGTTTTGCCCCCTGCCGTCCTTCTTAACGAATGCCCTTTTCCTCGCCTGGTTTTAACATTAAGGAGGAAGCAAGGCATCCTGGACACCAGGTACTCGATTTACTGACGTAATCCACGCTCCTCCTTGCAACTAAACCCGACAGTTACCATTTTACGTTAGAAACGAAATGTAATCTGAATTTCGTGAATTCGTGAGGAAGAAAGTTGAAGTGATTCCCGCTAAGTGTATTCAGACGAAAGCATGAAAACAACCCAGGCTTAAGCTCTCGCGGGTGCTGTCACTGAAACTGTCTCTCCTGCCGGAAGCGGTCTCTGTGCTGTCCCCATGTGGCTCTCGAGCACTCGCCATATGGCTAATGCCACTGAGAGACTGAATCTCTATTTTATTTAATTGTAGTCATTGCAGTTGAAATAGCCCGGTGGCTCCCGTGTTCTGCAGCGCAGGTCCGCCCGCCTCGGTGGAGGGATTTTGGACTGTCTGGCAGGTGGTCCCTCGCAGAAAGCTTTGAGGCACACGGAGGTACCCCAAGATGGGGATGTCGTGTGTGCCATTTCCTCCCCAGCTCCCCAGACTCTTCATACCCAGGCTGCATTTTAAGAGAAGATTGCAATACAATGCTGATTGCAATAATTTTCCAACAGTCTTCATTTATAGACTGGTCGGGGTGGTGGCGCTATGGAAGATGAGATTACTCTTGAACTTGAGGTTGGGATTCTGTCGTGGAATATGGCCTATAAAGTATATCTTTTTCATTTTAAATTCTGGGTATCTTATGATTTGTTTTAAGTTCTACCCTAGAGACTCTTGATTAAATTAGTGTGGCTGCCTTCAGAAAGCCATGCTTCGTACATAAACGCCTCGGCCCCTTTCATTAGATATTTTGCTCTGTGGTTAAACAGCATAGATCACCCAAGCTCGAGCCCTAACTTTCCCACACGTTAGCCGTGACCTTGGGCAGGTCACCCAACCACTCTGTGCCTCAGTGTCCTCATTGTAAAATTAGGATAATTACATCCATCTTGCAGGCTTAGCATGAGGGTTAAATGCGTTGAAATTTCTAATGCACTTAAAACAGTGCCTGGTGCATTTTAAGTGCTGAATGAACAGGAAGGGCTGGCTTGCTCCCAACGAGTGAATCCCATAGAGTCTTTCTCTATCCAAGCCTCCTGTTTTGAGCTCTGTAAACCAGCCGTCCCCAACCTTTCTGGCCCCAAGGACCGGTGCTCCCGTGAGAATCCAACGCCTGAGGGTCTGAGGCGGAGCTGAGGCTGTGATGCTGGTGCTGGGGGCGGCTGCAGATACAGATGATGCTCCGCTCGCCCGCCACTCGCCTGCTGTGCAGCCCGGTGCTGTAGACTCCTGTGCAGTCTGCCTACGACGACGCGGCCGGTGGGCTAGGAGGAGATGCCCCTTTATGCCGCACAGCCAGAATTTTGAGTTAAAAAAAAAAAAAAAAGATTCTCATGCACCTTTAAAATTAGGGGCAGATAGAAAAATCAGCAGGGACGTGTCTCTGTGTTCGAGTTCTGCGCCGCACGAGGGCAGGGCGTGCACCTAGTAGGCCCTCAGTGAACATGGCTCAGCCGGTTGGCTGGCTCTGGAAGGGACGGTGGCCGAGCAGATGCGTGCTGTGCTTTTCCCAAGGGAGGGACCGTCTCTCGAAGGCTGCAGTTACTCTCCGTCCTCAGATGCCTCGACGTAATCCATCCCTTCTTGATTCTCCATTGGAGTCTCCTGCCGAAGGCAGGTCGAGTGTTTCTGCTTCCCCGGCGCGGTATTTCGTAAGATTTTCTTTTCCCGGTGAATAATGATGTGTGAAGAGGAACCAGCCAAGGCTGGCTCTTTCTGGAGGCCTCTGCTGAAAGCCAGGGAGGAGAAGAGGCGGGCGGGCGGGCGGGGAGCCGCGAGGCGAAGCCGTGAGCCGCTTCCAGCCCCGGCCCACACCGAGCCGTCGGCTTCCGACCTGACAGCGCAGGCTCCCGAGGCGTCGGCACAGCAGAAGTGCCACTTGGTGCTATTGATTCGGGGCCATTTTCCCATTCGTCATTCACCATTTGAACTAGAAGCAGCTCATTTCAATAGGAAGAGTTTAAGAAAATTACAGTCCTGTGATCTAAAAGCAACTGCGGGTTTTTAGAAAACTTGCCATAAAAACTCCGATTAAAGTTGCCTGTAAACAGTGGCTTTGTTATAGTGTGTCTGCTGGTGCCTCGTTGGTTCTGAGTGGACAGAGAAGCCACCAAGAGCTGCCGTCTGGTCACCCACAGCCAGACTTCCGGAAACCTCCACCTTCTAGAACGATCTCCTCCAGAAAACCAGTCACGTGGCGGAGCCGCTTCTTCGTGCCAAGCTCCCAAGGGCCGAAGCTCACAGCTGGCAAACGAGCGTCGCCTTGCAGAAGGGAAGGCGTTGCTCGCTTAGCGGGTAATAATGTTTCTCAAAAGCCGCTTCCTGTTCTTTCAGAGCTTTGACTCGAAAGAAAAACAAGAGCTGGACAAACAAACCGAAGGGACCACGGCAGAGAACAGCGAAGGCGTGACAGCGCCGGGTGGCAGCGGTAGTGGGGACAGGCAGCGGTCGACATCCTGTGGATGCGGCTCCGTCGAAGGCGGGGGCTCCCGGGTCGGGATGTAAACGGCCCCTCGCCACCAGGGCCAGGCGGAGGCCCAGGAGCCTGGGACACAGTTCAGGAGGCCGAGGCCACGCAGGTGCACGCGGCGGGAGGAGAATGATTTACGTCGCACCTGTGCGCGGACCCGCTAGGGAGCCGCGCGCTCTTGAACCGGTTCCTTCTTGGTGTGAGGGCGACTCATCAGATCAGATCCGCGGTCCCTCGTGTAACCCTCTGGAGAACGATTTTGTTCAACACATTGGAAGTGAGGTTAATTTCGGTTATCGAATTTGTTTTCAAATGAGGGATTTCGCGAGACCTCGACCCGGTGGTCTCATCAGGTTGTTCAGGCTTAGTTGTTAAAATCACCCTTAGAAATAAAAAGCAAACATAAATAGTACACAGTTTGAAATCCCATTACGCTGCATTGTAAGGTTCTTTGACGTAGAGAGTATCACCTTACTCTGTACGGTTTTCATTATATTTCCATTACTTTATCTTTTTAATGTGAATTTCTAGAGGTTTGTTGTCATTTGTTAGGGAGCGATGTGTAGCTTTCTTTGGCTTAGTGCACATGGAAAACACAGGGCAAAATTCATTTGCCTGTGGGGAAAAACGGTAACCGACGGACACGTGTCATCGAGGCTGATAGTTACCTTTGGAGTCTCTCCAAGGGTTAAATCAGTAGCCTTCGATTTGACAATATGATTTGTATTTTAAGGCGAGCCAGAATCTGCCTTTGTCCTGTCAAGTGAGATTCGTTTCACAGATTTCACACGAAGTCTTTGCGAGAGTATATCAGAGGTAGGAGCAAAGGACTAAAACGTGTTTATGGGATTCTGAAATAGGAAGGGGAGATTTCGCAAAGAGGAACGGGGACCCCCTTCCATCCAGACAGCGACCTAAGACGGAAGGTACTCGATGGAAAAGTCCGATCGTACAGAGCCGTCCAGAGGAGGCCGAGGCCGCGTCTCTCGACACCGTCCCCTCCGCCTTCAGACTCTACCCCCCAAAGAAAAACCTACTTCGCTTTCATTTTGTCCACTTTAGTTACGTAAAAATGTTTTCCTCTCTGTCCACCTTTCCAGATGTTTTATCCAAATAAGCTTAGTCTGTCGTAAATACAGTCACGGCGATGTCAGAAGGAGGTGGTTTATGATATTTAATTTTCCAAATTACGCCGCTGCCTGGTTTTGTAATTTCTACCAGACGAGACCCTTCAAAAGCTGGTTTTCCATTTTAATACCCAATTAACACTAATGACGGGTTTCTTCACCGAGTGGAGAGACGAGTAACCCTTTGAACTGTTATGTAATTCCGTCGTGGTGTGTCAGTATGGACACCTTGTACTTTTTTGCATCTCTCAAAGTGTTCGTAATTCCTTCAGTTACCCTCTTTTGCCCGACACCCTCCACGTGTCCCCTGTTAGAATCCCGAGAACGGGGCGGTTGTCGTTTGACAGGGTAGGGATGGTTTTCTGAGACACCTCGGGGCCGTCCGTTCCTTTCTTTTCCTCGGCCTCCTCCCCTCTCTCGCCCCTTGACTCTGTGGGACAGTGACAACGCGTGTCTGAGTGGCTAGTGGACGCTCAGCGGCTACTTCTGAGTGTCGCGTTGACAGGAAAATAAGGACATCTTTTTCCATTACAATCTTCTGTTCTCAAAATGATATTCCTAAAGATAAGGCAGTGGTTTCCAGAACGTTTCCCAGTGATGGTAAATTACTCCTTTACTGTCGCGCTGTCAAGTTAGTTTTCTCATTCTTAATGCTGGGGAGATGGAGACTTCGGCTTCCAAGAAGGGGCCCTACGCTTTTCTGGATGGGAGACGCCAACATCTGTACGAGTATTTACAAATTACTGTTTTACCATGTATTTGCGTAACGCTTTGACATAGGTCTTACTGCGTGCCTGGTACCATTCCAAGCACGTTACCAAAATTCACTTTGACGCTCACGAAGCCTGTGAGGTAGGCGTTGTCATACTCAGTTCGCGGAGGAGGACACCGAAGCAGGAAGCTGAGGAGCTGGCCCGAGGTCACACACCGTGGGCAGTGGGACCAGGAATCAAACCCAGGCCGTCCAGCCCCACAGTGGATGCTTTCAGCCACCGAGGCACAGCCCCACCGTGAAAGTTCGTTCGTGGACAAGAATCACACACCATCAAGATCTCCCAGAATAGCTAAAGATTGGCACAACGCGCTGCTTCAGGGGAAGAGAAACCAGTAGCAAAGTGAGTCAACCTTTCCAGCGTTTAGGCGTAGAAAGGGCGTTATTTCCTGGGAAAGGCCTGCGCAGGTCGCTTCTGGGGATGGCAGTATTTCCGTAGCTGCGACACTCCCAGCGTTCCGCCTGGGGCATCATTTAACTAGATCATCGGGGAACGTTCTGTCTTCCGTAACCGCAGGTGACAATGTTGCCGAACTTCCCGCCGCTAATGCAAGGCAGGTCCCCTCGGCCTCCAGCTTCTAGTAACATTTAAACATTTTCCCTTCCAGCCCCGACCAGCAACCTCCTCAAGGCCCTTCCCAGTGACAAAGCCACCTATTTTCAGTGCCTTTCATGGCCACGCTCTACTTTCAGGTCCCCAAGTCTCACTTGGGTACCTAACGCTGCACCATTATGTGGCTTAAAACAGCGCTCGTTAGTAATTTTACTTCTCTGCTCCACGAAGTGTCACCTGGAGCCGCTGGACCGGGGCCCTCCCGCTTCCAAAATGGTTCACACACACGGCTGGCAAGTTGGTGCTCACGGCTCCCTGGGAGCTCAGCCAGGACCGGTGGACACCCACCTCCGTTCCTTTTTATAAACCGCTTGCATACGGTAGCCGTGTTCCAAGAGCAAATGTCCCAAGAGCGTGGTCACCTGTCATGACTTAGCCATAGCGGTCACGTAGCATCACTTCCGTCAGTCACGAGCCTACCCAGTTTTGGGGAGCGGGAACCTAGACTTCATCTCTTAATAATGGGAGCGTCCAGTCACACGGTGACAAAAAGCATGAGGCAGCTGTGTTCGTTTTCAGAGCGCGCACCTGTCGCAAAGCGAGAGTATCAGCTGATCCACCATTACGCAGCCTATTGTCTTGATCGTTTCTTTTCAACAATAACTAAGCACTTCGGGTAATTTAGTGTTTCCACTCTGTCGGACGCTGTGTCTTCGTTTAAGCGTGCGTGTATACTCCTCTGTGTCAACTTCATTCTCATCTGCTTTTGGCCCGAATACATTGTGCTGGTTTTCATATTAATGTTGCACTCGAAAAGAACCTGCCATCTATTAGGAAAATCGGATTCTTTACTTTAAAAAAAAAAGATTCACATCTATTTCATATTCTGGTTCGCATTTGCACATCAAATACTGGGAGCATTTATTGAAAAAATGACAGTCATTTATGCTCTTCCTAATGGCGGCTTAGGAATGGTGACGAAAGGTAATTCAGAGCAGCTTAGGCAATGATTTGCCGTCGACAGGGGCGTGTTTGGCAATGAACGAGCTGACCGTTTTATACTTCAGGAACAAACCTGTTAAGTGTTCGCTTGTCCCGCTAGTATTTGTTGAGTGCCGGGTCAGCCATCGGGCTCACGTTGGCACCAGACGTGGACCTGTGGCCTCATGGAACGTGCCATATAGAGTGAGGAAGACGGGCGTTGATAGGTCATTCTGCATAAACGTCAGATCACAGCCCTGTAAAGCACCGGAGGTAGGTACGCTCGGAGACGAGCCGCTGGGAACTTGACCTCGTCTCCCTAACGAAGCGCCCCGTTAGCCCAGATCTGGGAGGTGGGGAGCACGTGATCTTGCCGAGAGACGCGTGGGTGTGTGTGTCACAGCCCTTGGTGTGTGTGTCACAGCTACGCGAGCCCCTGGTTCAGATGTTTCTGGGGAGGCTGCGGCCCCCACCGCGCTGCCGTGTACAGCCCGCGTGTTGAGTGACTCTCGGAAAGCACGTGTTCACGCGGGCCTTACGGGGCAGAGGTCTGCGTTCCAAGGGGCCTTTTCGTTTATGAAGAGTTACTTAACTTCGAATAACGGCGATCACTGTGGACGAGGGCAGTTCAAGTCGGGGTTCAGGTCCTAAGGAGAGCAGTAGTTCTCCGTGTGTGGCCTGGGGACCCCTGGAGTTCCCCGAGAGCCTTTCAGGGTGTCTGAGGTCAAGACGACTTCCATAACACTACTAAGAGGTTATTTGCCTTTTCCACATTCCTTCTTTCATGAGTGTAACAGGACTTTTTCAGAGACCGGATGATGTGAGTTTGTCACAGCAGATAGGATGGCGAAGCCCGTGTGAGAATTAAACCATCGTCTGTCAAGCCAGACCTTTAAAAGCTTGGCAGAAACGTGAAGGAGCGCCATTGTTCTCACCGTTTTTTTTTTTTTTTTTTTTGGAAGATTTTATTTTCATAATTTATTTATGTTCACGTGTCGTAGGGTTTATTTTTGTTATTTTTAGATGAATAAGTAATTCTAAAATTTCTGTTTCTGCTTTTAATGTGGTAATTATTGATACCTATACCCCACGTAAACAGAAATTCTTTGGGGTCCTCAATTTTTAAAAATAGAAAGAGGTTTTGTGACAGAGGAGTTTGAGATCTGCCGAAGCGTGGTCTTCTTTTGATTTGGGGCATTTTACTGACTCAGACACAGGAGGAGTCTCAAACGGGGGTGACGATCAAAGCACTTTCTAGAAGGAGGATGAAAGGAGTTAGCATGTGCCAAGAGCGTCTTCGACTCCATGGCACAGAGTAAGCATCCCGCATCCGTTAGTTTTTATTATCATCACCATTTACCAGGAAAGCGGGACCGAGGTGAACGCACACACCACCGAAGCGTCGCTGCTGGAATGTTCGCCTGTGTTTCCGCTCATCCATGTTATTTCTGTAGAACGCTGCGTTCGAAAGTGAGAGAAATGGGTTTTTGTCATCCTTCTTTTGAGTTGGGTTAGAGCAGAGGTTTTTTGTAGGTAGGTGGTCAGGGTGTGAGGTTGGGAGACGCGTAGATTCACAATGGCTTGGGGTACTTCTCCCACCCGCCTCACCCCCATCCCCACTGCCAAGGTTCTGCTATGTCTGCCATCACCGTGAACAGATAGGCCGCTGCCGTTTGGGAGAGCCCCCCAGAAATCGTGTCACGTGTCTGGGCTCCAGCGTCTCGGACAGCGAGCTGAACGGAGAAGCCACGTTGGGGAGCGTGTCATTTGGTACCCAGCTCTCGAGATGCAGAAGCTGAGCGTATGCGAGAACTCTCTTTAGTGTCGGTCTCAAAAGCCTTAATTTGTCATGTGACAGTAAGCGATTTACTGAAATCCCTGATACTCAGTGTCCTTATTTGGAAAATGGAGGTGAAAAGAACATCGACCGAGCCATCAAAGGAGGCCTCACGTGCGGGCGCCCAGGACACACGCTCTCGGTAGCATCTTTATTCGTCTGCTAAGTCTAGAGAGAGACCCTTGCCGGTGAAATAAATCATTCTCTCCGGAGCCTGAAAGCTCGCCGGAGATATCGCGCGTTGGAGCTTTGTAACATTTTTTTTTTTTCTGTCTTTTTTAGGACAGCCCAGAAACTTGCAGGACCTGTGCCGAATTAAAATTCGACAGTGTATAGGCCTTCAAAACTTAAAGCTGCTTGATGAACTACCGATTGCCAAGGTCATCAAAGACTACTTAAAACACAAATTTGATGATATCTGATCCACACAGAACTGTGAGCAGGACTAGGGCTTGTATTCCAGATACTTAAAAGGCTTTCTGCCTTGCACAAAGTATATCCTATGCAATTTCTGATTTGCTGTAAAGTCAGAAGGCAGGTATACACTTTTAGGTTTATTTTTGTTTGTTCGGTTGGTTTTCATTGTAGGGGAGGGTTTTTTTTTTTATATATATATAGATAAACACACACACACACACACACACACACACGCACGCACGCTTGAAGGTCTTAATTTGGTTTTTTGGTCCAGGTTTAAGAGGTCCAAGCTTTCTATACAATATTGCATTTACAAAAATTGTTTTTCCAAAATGACGCAAGCAGGTTTGGAGTGCAGAATTTACCCTTTTCATATTTACGGTTTCATTGGGGTGCACGACGTAAACCAGCAGGGCACACGTCAAAGTTTGGAGGGGTGGTTTCCTCCGGGGAGGGGGCGGTCCTGGGTCCCATTGGAAAACGCCCTAAGACAATTTTACAGTAAATGGCTGTCACCTCCTTCATTTTTAATGAATACAAATCGGCTGTTTCAACTGTTCTCTTCCTAATTACTGTAGCTTTCGGGTGACATAAATCCAGTACCTCTGCTTCCTGTTGGTGCGCTCTTGTTTTTAACTTTTTTTTTTTTTACCAACCGTGGTACACTACCCAGAGGCATCGCCTGTCAACTACTGTCTCTAGTTGAATTGTGCTTTTAAAATGATTAAGGGGAAAGAGAATGACTTTATAAAGCCAGTGTATTCTGTTTCTCAGACAGCGCCTCCAGTGCAATACTCTTTCCGGTGTATTTTATCCATCATTTCCCTTGATGTTCCTCATGCCACAGCCGGCTCCGACATGCCCGTGAGAACAGGGACGGCCACTGTTCTTTGACTCACAGCACCAGAGTGTGTCAGCTGCAATTTCCATTTTTCAGCTTCGTCCTTTACTTCATCGGAAGCCAAAAATTTAAGCCCGGTGGTAGAGTATTCTAAAAATAGCCCCAAGTATTGTTAAACCGTTTGGCTTTTATTGGTTAAGTAAGTCGGGGTGGTTTCACGGTGGTTTTTTTTTTTTTTTTCTTTTTTCTTCCCAGTGAAGAAAATTTTCTAAAAGGTAAAACTGCTAATCGATGCACACTTAAAAGTCTGATGGGCTCCTAATATGCTAATGAGACATTTCCTGTCTGTCTTAAGGTTACACACAGTGAGGCTCTTCTGGACAGTTATTGTGTTTTCTGGGTTGACGGGGCATTTGCTGGCCGTGTAAACACGGATGTGACGATGTGTCGGTAACAGGGGGGACACTCCCAGAGAGATCTGTGATCATCACGCCCTCGGAGCTGCATGCCGTGCTCAATTTAGCATTATTGGTTTCCGAAAGAAAACTTTTCAAACATCGCGGTCATTCTCAGCGCTCTGGGCAGTTTCAAAATAGTTACACCCTAGTGATACATTTCTCAAGAAGTTTACACAACGAAGGGCTTCTCTTTGACTTTCTAGTTGGACGTCATTGGGTATCACACTGTTTCACGTGCAGAGTGTAACTCAGCAGTCGGCTCCAGCTTCTGCTCCCCCAGATCCTGCAGTTACACATTCTGCGGCACAGAGTTTGTTCTCTCGGACGCAGAGTGCCTGTGACATCGGGGTGTCCGATCGGCCTGTCCTAGATTTTTGAGGAACGGGCCGCTTCGGAGAAAGGATTTGGGGGACCGCCGATGGCCACATAGCCCCTTTTGCAGGGAGCCAGTGAGACCGTGGCCATTTCTATGGCCGTCTCGAAACTGTGACTGCAGCCTGCTAGACAGAAATAGATGTGTCCTTGCCCTGTTAAGAATTTCTCCAGAAAAGTTATCTCACGAGAGAGAGAGAGAGAGAGAGAGAGAGTCCCTTTACGATGAATAGGAGCTAAGCCGCGTTCCCATTCTTCCACCCAGTGCCCAGGTCGGACCTGAGCCATCTGGGACATGGCGCAGCCAGAAATGAATTGAGAGTTACTTCTCCCCAAAACCCCGAGGAGATGGGAGGGCCCCCGCACTCTGAGCAGTGATGCCAGAGCCTCTCTCCTCACGCGTGTGTATGAATTTATTCAGTTTAAAAAGATTTCCTTCCCCCAACCATTCGAAGCTTTCCAAACGAAGCCACTGAGTGTGAGTCAGGGAATTCCAAGTACAAAGATCAGATGGAGGGAAATTCTTCGTTCTGTATTGCTGCTGCGACTTTCAAAAAAAAAAAAAAAAAATTATGAGAGCTCTTCCTGGAATTGCAATGTCTATTTAATGAAGAGGTGTATAATTCCATTATTTATTGTTTGAGGTTTGATTTCTCTGGAAGCTTAAAAAGGTGTTTTCTTTTCGTTGTTAGTAAAATCCCAATCACACGTCCCATTTAACAAACAGTAACTACAGTGTCTCGAAGTCGGTAGCTAGTGGCATGCAGGAGTAATAGACGTGCAGGATAGACGCATTTGAACTTGATTGCCAGAGAAGCGCTCTGTGGTCACAGAATGAGGCGAGAGAACGTGTCATTTTCAGAAAATCAACTGATCGTTTTGTCCAGAATCTTGACTGAGATGTTCAGAACGGTATCAAATTTGTCACTGACCCTTCTCTGTTTCTTTCGAAATGTATTATTTAAGCCTATGACTAAACCTTTATAAAAATATATTGGGCAAGTACACCAAAGAAACCAGCTCATGAAAGATTACGATCGTTAATGAACTGCAAACCTCATCTTTTGAAAACAAGATTTTTCTTTTCGTGTGTGTAAATATTTGTGTTTATAAATGTACAGCAGAGCAAGAGCGTTTTTTGGTTGGTTTTTTTTTTTTTAGATTATTTAATTCCCATATTTCTAAACTATCTACCACAGAGTAATCCACGCTTGTTAGTTGGGAGGACTTGACCGTTTTGTTTTTGAATTCATTATCCGTCATGCTTGGAGCCGCCTTTCCGCAAGAGGACTCAGTGTCCTGCCACAGGTGACAGCGCACACATCTGCAGCTTGAGGGAGCCTGCCATGGCCTCAGACGCGCAGCCCCAAGGAGAAACGTGAGGTTTAACGACCAGAGTGGACCATCCGAAAAGGGAGATGCTAACTTTCCTGCAGGATCGCTCATCAGCCCCGAATGTGATTGGGATGAGGCCCTTCGCCCACAAACTTAGCCTTCATGTAACTCCCGGTGTGTTATATCATACTGTATTTTGTTCTTCCTTTGTAATGTAAGTTTTGCTTTGGGTCAATTTGAATTAAAAAAAAAAAAAGAACAAATCTGGTTTAAAACTTATTGGCATTGTGTTTTATTTCTAGTCTGCCCTCACTTTTGCACATTTGGTGAAGAAACAGAAATCTATCGATCGATGTTTTAGATAATTGGGAATCACATAAGCGTGATACGGGAAAGAGCACTTTTAGGTCAGAAAAAGCAGTTCTGACCACCCCCTCCCCCTTTTTTAACGCGTTCCGCAAATGCCAACCGACAAAAGACAATCACATTCTTGTGTCAATCCAATATTGACCCTTTGGGGGCCAGATTCACCTTGACTGAGGACCAAGATTGGACCACAGTGTATCTAAGCACAGAAAAAATAAATGCAGCTAAAACAATGAATTTGAGGGCGTCGATTAGCCTGCGGGAGACAGAGGCCAAATAAGTCCGGTTCCACTCTCCATACTCATCGGCGGGGGAGTCAGATTTGGAAAATAGCCACGTTGCTTGCAGATCTTGAGGTCTTTTTTTTTTCCAATATGATGTAAGTAGTGTATTGTTTTTTCAGCTGAAAGACAATTTACAAAAATGGCTGACTAACTTGATGAAACAGATTATCTGCTCGATAGGAAAAATATTTCCACATCCAAAGTAGTTGGGTTCTGAAGAATAAAGGAAGTGGATTTGGATCCTTGCTTGTGTTTATGTCACATAATGTAACCCTATGTCCTCTTAACACATCTTACGAGTTCTGATGTCAGAATTTATATCAGCTTGAATATCAAGACAGATTTTAAATAGGCACTGCCAGAAACTGACATTTAGGCCCGAGTTGATGTAGACTCCTGAGATCCAAAGCTAATTTGTCTTTACCATTATTCTGTCCTTATCTATAAGGTCCCTGGGGCCTTAGATAATCACACCAAGCGTCAGCCCGCATGTGGTGTCCAGAATCTCATGACTTCCTTGTATGCTGCTGGTGGTGTTCAAAGTTTGGTAACACATTTTTATAAGATCGTGGTGCATTTGATAGGTGGGTCTCCGTCTTCCCGAAGAACTCTTGACTCCTGAGTGACAGCGTTCTGAGTCCGTTTTGGGAAGAACGAGGCGATTTCTGGAAGGACCTAAAAGCGATGATCAGTGCGAATAAAGAAAGCCCCGCTCCGTCTCTTGTCCCAAGGGAGCGCGTCCCTTCGGGTCCCGAGATGCGCTCCCCAGTGCCACTCAGCTGTCCCCAGAGTGCCTCGTGCTGAGTTTCAATTCAACCAGGTGACTTTTCCATTCTGAAGACCCATAAACCATTCAGAGTAAAGGATCAGATAAAAGCAAATGATTTCTCTTCTGCTGCAGATACGATCTTTTTTTAAAAATCGTCATCTTTTGTAGTTATTCTAAACGTTTTAAATTTTGGTTCATTCCAGCGTCTTAAAAATCGCACTTAGAACCTTCTCACTGTTTTTTTTTTTTTTTTAATTGGGAAATTGTTTTAATATTAATGAAATCTACCTTATGTTACTTTAGGGAGTCATGAAGTGATTCACTTTTCTGTGAAATAGTGTTTTATGAATCAGAAAAGAGAGGGCTTCCTTCGGACCATGGGATCCAGGCGAAGCTGCGAAACTCGGGTATGTGACGATTCCACTGACCCTCTGTGGCCGACGCAGGTAATCCAGCTGTGGCTACTTCCTATTTCATCTGGCAAACGGTCACATTTTTCTTGCTGCTCCGTCTTGAGCTAATCCTGCTTTTCTTCCGCTGATCGCTTTGAGTCAGGGCACAGCTCAGTTTTCGTTTACTTTACCCCCGCAAAAAAAAAAAAAAAAAAAAAAAAAAAAAAAAAAAAAAAAAAAAAAAAAAAAAAAAAAAAAAAAAAAAAAAAAAAAAAAAAAAAAAAAAATCGTAGGGCGTGGACTTACTGTGCGTGACCATTTAATATTTCCCTTGGGCTTGTCTAGATTTTTTCCCTCTCTCAATCTTGGCCACTTAACCCTTCGGGGAAGTACGTAAGCGCAAGGGATGCCCCCGTCGCCAACTTGCTTTCACGCATGGATTTTAATGTTCCCAATCGTTCATTTTCCCTACTTTACCTGTGTAGAAATATAACTTAATGCCGTTTAAGAAGACCGCCTAGTAAATTAGTCCGGGCTACAGCCATTTGCCCATCTCAGGCAGCACCAGAGAAGCAAAACTAGATTTCTTCTGGGTTTTATTACCTGCGTTCTGAAGAAATTCTCTATGAGCACTGGGAGCACCCCGAAGACAGACCCCGGGTCTTCTTTGCCTGAAATCCCAAAACGGTATTTGCCGAAAGCTTAAGGTGCCTGTGGCAGTTGGCCCTCAGCCAGGGCCTTTGTTCCTTCGAGCCTCCGAGGAGACCAGGGGCAAGAGGGTGACAGTGTCGGCTCCCAGTCTCAGGTAAGGACAGCTGTCCCAGTTACCAGCCAGTGCTGCTTCTTGCTGTGCCCGCCTCCTTCCCTCTGTCCCTGCCCCTCTGCCCTCCCCTCCATCAGAGTCACCGGGCAGTGGACCCACGTGATCAACTGCATGGCACCGATGGCCACTTGCAAAGAGATCTCTCGTCTCCCTGAGTTCGCACAGCACGTTGAGGCTTCGAAGGGGACATGCCGTGTCCAGCTCGGACCTTCCCGACGGGGCCCCTCAGCTCACCGGTGTGTCCCCGAGGGTCACAGTTACGCTTAGATGGAGCTCACCTCCGTTCTCAGGGCAGCTAGCGGGGACCGAGGAGAAGCCCCTGGCCGGTCACCACCCGCGGTGTCCACTTTTCCACGTCCAGCACCAACGGCCCTGTTTTCATGGAGGAGGAAAGTGCTGGCCTAGTGAGCCCTTTGTACCTATTTCTCTCCATGGCGCCCGCCTGTCACAGAGCCTGTCACATAGTGGACGCTCGATCGGTCATTTTTCTAGTGACTTAATCTAGACCCGTCGCTTCCTTTCACAGGTGAGAAAGCGAAGGGGTTACGAACAGCAGTGAACAGCTCTGCACGGGGGGCTGGTGGCGTTTGGGGTACAGCAGCCAAGCCTCCTCGCCCTCTGCGCTCTTTGGCAATCTCGGGGGGGCGGGGTGGCTCTGCCTCCCGTCGGTGGTTTTCTGGGGGACAGAAATTGCCCCCCTGTTTAACACAGCAATGGTAGGATGAGATGCCAAGGCTCGGGGCTTTAGACTTCCTCCCACGCATCCCTCAAACTGCCTCTAATTTCCTCCGAAACGTTTTCTGGGAATGCGATCTTAGCCTCCACCTTTGCGAATGCTCTTGAATGAAGGGAAGCGGCTTAGATTCTGGGGGCGCCCTTAGGAACTGCTCTGCCAGCCTCGTGCGTGTGCGGACATGAGGATTACTCCGCGTGATGCTATGTTTTTGTTTTGCAAGATGTGTTTGCGAGAGGGGTCGAATGACTTGGAGTTAGTTGCATGATGCCGGTGGCATTTAGACTTAGCTTTTTTCCTCCTGCTTTTAGTTTTCATCACAGGCAGCTAAGAGGTCCACATACCTCCAGCCTTTCTTCATATTTTCTGATCCTTCAAATCATAACCCAGGATCACAGCTGTAGGCCTGGCTTCTCCAAGGCTGTTCCAGTCGTAAGCAGGTCCTTCCCCTCCAGCCTCCCATCCCTTGTCCTTGTCCCTGTCCCTGTCCTTTGGCTGTGCATCTGTCTTCGTAATGGGGAAACTTGTTTCCACGTCGTCTCCACCAGCCACGGCAGAAGCTTCCAGGCCTTAGGCGTTGTGGGCAGGCAAGCAGGACAAAGCCCAGGCGCGGTCGGGCCTCGCGGGTGGTTTGTGAGCGAGGGAGCGGGTGTGACAGCCCCTTCGAAGCCCGCTCGGTGAGAAAGCCGGGGGGCGCGGTGACAGTCAGTCTGTTCCCGTGCGGACTCAGTTAAGCTACTTCACATTCGTTTTCACGTAATTATCACCACTGCCCCGCGCTCGTCACAGGTGAAGCGGCTGAGGGTGAGTCCTCCCCCTTCTCCAATTCACCTGTCGGGTTCCGCCTGCTCGGGCCCGGCCCACCCCACCAACGCCTCCCCATCAGGAACGCGTCCCCACGCCTCGCCCTTCCCGGGGCTCCCCGGACACCTTTATGATCACGTGTGTCACCCACGGTCTCATTTTTTCTGTAGCTTGTGCTCCTCAAGGTTCTTAATTAACGCAGAACCGAGGAAGCCCCTCTAGGGAGTGCAAAATGTGTGCGTGCGCGGGTGACTCCTCCAGGGAAGAGGCCCGGGGCACTGTCACGTCATCTCATCCCCTGATGAGACGTCACCGACCCCCGCGGTGGTTCCCGAGCCATCTGTCACCCTGCGGCTCAAGGCCAAGGGCGGCACGCTCGCCCACCTCTGGGGTGCCACCCATGGGCTTTACCTAAGTCCCCAGCGCACCGTGCTGGGCCAGGTGACAGGACCGTGAGCGCACCTCCTCCTGCCTCCTGGGGCGGGGTCCCCCTCTGGCCCTAGCGAGGCTGGCGTTCAGAGTCGCCTCCCCTGGCTCTCCATCTCCCCCCAACT